AAATTAAATACTCAAAGCCATTAATGATGTATACTAAAACTAGTAATTAATCTACGCCTATTTCGCATATCAAAGCCGCCATTATATAATTCTCACATTGCTGCGGAGATGGCTTGGTCCAAGCCAACCTGATAGTATGACTTGCGAAATGGTAAAAACATTATTTACTTCCGAGGGTGATATTCTTAGAAAATTTGAGGGTGGTGTGGTTTACTTTGACATAGCCTTCCGGACTGGCTGTGTGAGAACAAGCGATTAAAGATGATGATTAGGGTGAAAAAGGAAATCAAGAATAAAGACATTATATACACCGCCACGCGATATTTTACTCTTGTAATACTTTCTTGCACATTTGTTACTATAATACCGAATATATAATCGGCCACAAACATTAAAGCAAAAACATAATATTCCAAGAATGGAAAAAACAGGTGTTTGTTAAGGGGTGTATGTATTATAGATCCAATCAGATCTCATTGCTTTTTTGAGAAATATAATTTTTGCCGCGATAGAAATGATGGATCGGGCTGTGAAGCGTGGCTAACATTTAGATCATCAGATCTACTGAATTGTTCATTGATTATATTCAAGGTGAATTTTATCTTTAGATTCACAATTAATACAATTAATTAAACAATTTATAATAATTTACAAAGATAAAGCAGACCTGTAATCGACCTGATCAAGTTATTTTACATAATTGGTTTTATCGTAGCCAATGCGATAACTTTTTGTTTATTTTCTAAATTTAGAAATGTTGGAAAGGTTTTGAGCGTCATTAAAAATATACCTTGGGTATCCCTACCCCTTAAACTTTTTTTATAAAAAATCTTCTCACATGAGGGTCAACATCCCGTGCCATTTATTTAAATCACATGACAATTTCGGCATGGCGTCAAAGATGAAACATGCTAACCTATCTATAATAATAATAATAATGTATTTCAAATGTATTTCACATGTAATCGATTTTCTAAAAATGTTTCTCCCGAATTATACATCTATTTTTTTCTATACATATTTGTTTTTAATTAAAGAAACAAGTTTATATTTTCATGTGATTTTACCCTA